ATTATATTAATAAAAAATAATAATATAGGAAAAAACAAATTAATGGATCAGAAAAAAAAGCGTGCTATATTTGAACCATCCAATTAGGGGGAGACACATCTTCGTCTTCTTCCTTCAACCCTGTATATTTACCTGCGGATTTATATCCGCAGCTAAATTCGCATGTGCGTCCTAAAATCCATTCCAGTCCATGGAAATTGATTTCAAGCACATGGTTATGCTCGTCTATCTCCCCTGGTCACGCCTATGTCCATCAATGGAACCAATTTTGCCTGTAAAGGAAATGCCCAAAAATACAACTACAAAACCCTAGGTTCGGTCATAAGGCTACAATCCATATAAATGCAATCAAATAATGCCAAAAGTTCAGAAATTTCATGAGCATCATAAATATGTCAAAGATTTTCCAGGAAAATGCAAGAATATGGAGTTACGATTTCAAACGAAAAGCGGTTTTTTGAGATACTTACAGAGCTTTAGGGCGTGTATGGAGACTGGCTTTGGGTTGGTTTTGCTTCAATGATTGTCCAGCAATGGATTAGTGTAGAGTTTTGCTTCTGAATTGGCCTCCAAGAATGATTTCAGTTTCACACTTTTTTGGCAATTTTTCAAGTTTGGTTCTTGGTGTTCTTGCAGCCTCTAGCCTCAAATTCGTGTGCTTTCACTTGTATATGTATGCTGCAATGTATTAGGTCAACAAATTGGTCTTGAATCTTTGTACATTAATGCCTTGAGATTGGATTTGATCCTCCATTGAAAACTTGCTTAATTTGCCAAAAATCCAATCTTTTTGCACATGGAATGCTTGATACGAATTTGATACACTTGATGATGATGATTCAATCCTGAAATATCCAAAAAGAGATCAAATAATCAATGTTTGGATTTTATTTGATTTAAAATGAAATAATTCATTAAAAAATAAAACTAAATAATAAAATTAATAAATGGCAACAAGGATGAAGCTAGGACACGTGTGTAGTGTGACAAGATCAAATCAAGTGAAAAAGAATGGGCCCATTTGACAAATTTTGAAGTTTTGGGGATAGTTGACTTTTGGCAATTTTGCAAAAATGCCCAACTTCAACAATGCATAACTTTTTCAATTTTGAACTTTTGGAGGTGTTCTGGGACTTTTTAGAAATCTTAAGATGTCCTATAACCAACCCTTTTGGTATCATCTCTTTTTTATATTCCATGCTCAAGTTATAAGCTTTGGAAAAAAAGGTGTTTCTGTTGACTTTCAAAAATGACCTATAATGTCCAAATTTGTAACTTTTTGTGAGTGCATTTCTTGATCTTTGGGTGTGAAGATGGATTGTAGGAAATTTCATACTATTCAAAATGAGATTTGGATGGGTCATTTCTCATAAAGTATGAGAAAGTTATGCTTGGTCAAATTTGAGTTGACTTTTCCTGCAAAACCCTAATTTAGCAACTTTTGAGTCTTGATGAATTTTGAGCAATCCTTGATGAATCATGATCAACCCTTTATCAAATGATGAAATATCCTTCAAAATGAGAGTGTTGACAAAAAATCTTGAAGTTTGACTGTATTTGGGTCCCAGTTGACTTTTGCCCTAGCACAGTCGATTTTTGGACCCTTTGAGCAATTGACTGAGCAAACTTCCTCTGCAAGGCTTGAAATTTGGCATGGATGACATTGAGAACATATTAGGACCTTGGGGAGAACTTGAGGGCATTTGGATGCAAGGACCTTGATGCAACACAAGACCCTAATTTGAGGTTGACTGCCTTAGGAGATAGCTTGACTGTCCAACTCTTGAGTAATCTTGAACCACTTGGAGTTTTTTTCTTGCAATGTTTTTTTGAGAAATATGAGAGGGAAAATTTTGGGGTACAACAGCTACCCCTGTTCAATCTTCTTAAACCTGAGGAGGTAGATTGGCTTTCGAGCCTTTCGTGATCCGAAGGTGGAAGATGATTGAACACTAGAGTGCCCAGAAATTTGCACTCGCATGAAGTGGTATCAGCCTGGTGATGTCGGGAATGGGATTACATATGCCATTTAGAGACTGTTGATAGGTGGTCCGGACTTCGGCTGGAATATGAATCAGGGAGATCTTATCGTCGATCTGACTAAACCGGGGAAGGTCTTGGATTAACTTTGACTGGATAAGAATCAGAAAAATCTTTGAATCGATTTAACTGAACCAGATGAAAGTCTTGGAATAACTTCAACTGGAATACGAATCAGGGAGATCTTTGCATCAATCTGACTGAACCAGAGGAGGTCTTGGATTAACTTTGGCTGGATAAGAATCAGAAAAACCTTCGAATCGATTTAACTGAACCAGACGAAAGTCTTGGAATAACTTCAACTGGAATACGAATCAGGGAGATCTTCGCGTCGATCTGACTGAACCAGAGGAGGTCTTGGATTAACTTTGGCTGGATAAGAATCAGAAAAATCTTCGAATCGATTTAACTAAACCAGACGAAAGTCTTGGAATAACTTCAACTGGAATACGAATCAGGGAGATCTTCGCATCGATCTGACTGAACCAGAGGAGGTCTTAGATTAACTTTGGTTGGATAAGAATCAGAAAAATCTTCGAATCGATTTAACTGAACCAGATGAAAGTCTTGGAATAACTTCAATGGAATACGAATAAGGGAGATCTTCGCGTCGATCTGACTGAACCATAAGAGGTCTTGGATTAACTTTGGTTGGATAAGAATCAGAAAAATCTTTGAATCGATTTAACTGAACCAGACGAAAGTCTTGGAATAACTTCAATTGGAATACGAATCAGGGAGATCTTCGCGTCGATCTGACTGAACCAGAGGAGGTCTTAGATTAACTTTGGCTGGATAAGAATCAGAAAAATCTTCGAATCGATTTAGCTGAACCAGACAAAAGTCTTGGAATAACTTCAACTGGAATACGAATCAGGGAGATCTTCGTGTCGATCTGACTGAACCAAAAGAGGTCTTAGATTAACTTTGGCTGGATAAGAATCAGAAAAATCTTCGAATCGATTTAGCTGAACCAGATAAAAGTCTTGGAATAACTTCAATTGGAATACGAATCAGGGAGATCTTCGCATCGATATGACTGAACCAGAAGAGGTCTTGGATTAACTTTAACTGGATAAGAATCAGAAAAATCTTCGAATCAATTTAACTGAACCAGACGGAAGTATTAGAATAACTTCAACTGGAATACGAATCAGGGAGATCTTCGCGTCGATCTGACTGAACCAGAGAAGGTCCTCCATAGATGCAATTTTTCTTTTGAGGGGACTACCAGTTCATATGAGTAGTCAACGGTGTTTTACTGATTCGTCTTTCCCTAAAATGGTAAAGAGTTAGTCATATGCAATGTCATGATGTATAAAATGCATGATATATATCAAACAATGATGCTCTCAAAATAAATGAGATTGTGTGGTATGATGCGTATATGCATGTATCATGATGTATGGAAATGTAATGTTTTAGCCGGGGAAAATAAATCTCGGATAGCTGCTGAAGAATAGAGCTGGATTCTTCGTTTCTGCTGGGGATGGCAAACGAAGATGATTGTGAGACTAGACCTGCAGGAGAAGATAAATTCGTTGGGGGATAAACTGATGAGGAGATTACTTTATGGGCAAGAGATGCTCTGCTGAGGATTCCACTGATAAATTCCGTCGGGATGACTTATCGTAGCTGGTGATATTGAATCTGTTGAGGATTGAATTCTGTTTGTGAAAGGAAAGAACTCCGCCGGGGACGATCTCTCAGTGACTACTTCACTGGGGATAACCTGTTAGACTTTTGTGGGGATAATCCTCTGAGTTTTGCTGGGAATGATCCTTTGAACTCGGTTGGGGAGATTTATTTTTGTACTCCGCTGGGGATAAACTTCCAGAGTCTACTGGGGATGATGCTTCAACTCTGTTGGGGAAGCTTTTTCAGACTGCGCTGGGAAAATTTTAACTCCATTGGGGGTATCTTGTACCCTGCCAGGGAACATTCTTATACTTCGTTGGGGAATATTAAGACTGCCGGGAGTATCAAGCCTTTTTAGTGCTGATGGTAGATAAACTCTGCTTGGGGAGAGCATTGCTGATTCGTTCGCAGTTACAAGTCTCAGCTAGGAGAGCTACCATTACTGTCTTACTCTGCGGGGAGTGAAAGTATTTTAGCCATATTCTTCAGATGAATCTACCTTTGTACCTGGTGGGCAGAGTAACTATACAACTTGGATAATCCTTATTTGCCCCTGTTTATGATATTACCAGTAATCACTACAAGAAAATTGGCAGATTGCGACAGGTATTTTTGTAGATTACGACGGTTAAAACCGTCGCAATTTGCTTTCCACGACGGTTTCTTTACCGTTGCAGAAGTGTGTGTCCCCAACCTATTTCGCGACGGTTACAAAAACTGTCGTTCAAGTTTACGACGGGTTGATACCGTTGTGACTATCTTTTGAGTTTCTTTTAATTATTGATGGCGACGGTTCGATACTGTCGTGAATATCTTTTGAAATTGATTAAATTGTTTATGGCGACGGTTCGATACCGTCATGACTTTTGTTGATTATTTTTAATTGTTGATTACGACGGTTCGGTACTGTCGCCATGACTTTTGTTTATGTCTTGATTTTTTTTTATTTTTCTATTATATATATTTTTTATTTAAATTATTATCTATGTAAAAAAATTTAAATATAGTTTTTTTTTGTTATTTTTTTCTTTAAATTATTTCTTCTTTAATATATTTATTTATAGTATTATTTTTTGTTTTATTTTCTATCACTTTGTAATATAGTAAAAATAATTTCAATAAAAAATATTTAACATCAAATAAGCATTATAATATCCAAAAAAATGTGTGTTCCATAATCATGTAAATGCGAGTTCCATAATTATGTCAAGTAGTACAAAAAACCCAAAATATATCAATTCCTAATCTTATAATAATAAGTATCATTATGCCAAAAATACATGAGAAAGTTCACAATCTAATTATCTCGATCATAGCAAAGTCTAATTTGTCCCCCCTGAAGTTCCATTATCTCCAATACAGTAGCTATACTCAGATGAACGTCTACCATCAGCGGGTGATTCCAATCCCTAAAAAAAGGTATTAAATTAATTATCTTTAAAATAATACTCATAAAATAGAATTAGAACAATAACAAAGTTAGGTAATAGAACTATTCAAGGAAGATTGCTCAAACTTCATGAAGAAGCTACCACATAAAAAGTATATATAAAAAGGCTTGTTGCGACTCAAAATAAACAAATTGGTTCAAGGATTTGATGCAATTGTACACATCATCACCCCATCCTAACTGTTATCATATGACTTCGATAAATATAGACAGACTAAAGTTAGGAAACAGAGATGTGTACCTTCAGAGCATAAGCTTGTGATTTCTCAGAAACAGGGCACAAAATTGCTTGACGAGGACTGAGCCAGAAGGGCCATTTACCCTTGTAGTGCTCTAAAAGTATGGCAAACATGCGTTCAACTGATCCTAGAATGGCTCTGTGTATCATAACAGGCCTCTCAATTTTGGCTTCATCCTCAGCTGAGAATTCCAACTTAAAACGATCAGGAAGCTGGAAGTCAAGCTGCAAGGAGCCAATTTATCCAATTATCAGTAAAAATAATTAACAACTGAACCATGTGAATGCAAGTCAAGCCAAAGAGTGTAAACCTGTAGAGTTGCACACTGGAATTTCCTACTCAATGCATCAGATACACTGATATCTATCTTTGGTCCATAGAATGCACCATCCCCTTCATTCAACTGCAGAGTTTTATTTGGATTATAAGCACATAATTGAAGTTAACAAATGATGCATTACATTGAAAATAATAAAACAGATATACAAAAAATAAAAGAATGTATGAGAATATAAAAAATAGTATCAAGAAACATATAATTGAATTCAAAACATGAAAAGCATATACCTGCCATGGCTTGCCAAACTCATCCAAAGCCTCCTTGAGAGCACTTTCAGCCCTATCCCACGTTTCATCATCTCCAAGCTTATTCTATGGCCTCTACTCAAGTATTTAACACAGGCAAGGCAAAATAAATAACTGAGTCATTAAATAGATTAAACCAATTACTAACAGCAGAGTCTACCAAGCTTATCATGTACTACTATATCATGTATCAGAAGAAAAGAAAATAACAAGAAAGCTAGTTCTTTGTATTGAGGCCATATTCCCAATTATTAACTGTTCCTACTAATGTTATTTATTCACAAACTTCATCATATTTCAAACCATAGAGAAGTGTTCCTACTAATGTTATTTATTAAACATATAAACAAAACATGTACCATAGGAAGAGAAAGACTGGTAAGATACGATCAAAATGATCTATATCAGATGACGCTCTTAGAAGGAATAATTGCAACAAAGAAACAAATAATGAAATTATCAAATCAGAATTAACTTACATTGCAGACAAAACATATAGCGGCAGTTGTTTCCAAACTATTAAACAGATTTATCAGCATCTCTTTTGGAAGCCTTTTTGCCATTTCAACAGAATCTTTTCCAACAGGATCAGAATTGTATTCTTTAACAAGAAGTGGGTGATCACAAGCCTGACGGAGACGTAAAAGCATCAAAAGAATATTTGCATAGTTTTGATTCACTGTACGGCAGCAACATATGCCTGCAAATTACAAGCATTACTTTTCAAAATTACAAACTGAGAACATCCATCAGTGTAGAAATATCAGATGAACAAAATCATATAATTCGTAATTGACATGCCCACTGTCAAAATAAATTTCTAGACACTAATTTAAAAAAGAAAAGACAAACAGTATCATTACAGTATGTCCAAGTTAATATAAGAAATTTGAAAAGAAATAAACTTTAAATTGAGAACGTGAATCAGCTTCCAACTTTTTGTAGTATACCAAACTCCAAAATATTTAAAAGGTCCTATGTTGTGTTTGTCCCTTACTTTTTGCTCAAATTCTTTCACAAGTACATATAAAATTCTATTACCATTTACATTTTATTAAAATGACACAATTTTATTTTGTGTTGCATTTGTTTTAAAAAGGCTAGTGATACAGTTTAACATTTAGCTCTTAAGTTATAATCATTACCCATCAATTTATGGTGGCAGGGAACTAGATTAAGATCTTCTGCATCTGACTTTTTACTGAAACCTACATTTTCAACTACATTAGCATACTAACACCACTTATCTTATAGAAAGTTACTGAAACCTATTACCACTCTCCAATAGATAAAAAAACATATAGAGTGCTCTAGAACTATACCAACTAATGTAGAAGTTTAATATCTTATTATGGGTTAGAGGTGAAATTGCTAAATAGATAGAGGAAAAAACTTGTTATGCAGTTACATCTAACTAATTACAAGAACTTGTTGAAAAAACTTATTAATTAGTGTGAAAGATAGAGTGAAATTCTTACATGATTATTATAGAGGTAACACTGCATTTCCTTTCTATGCTCATATATTACGACTGCATTCAAAGCCCCGGTGACAGACAGAGCAATAACTTGTTATTGGTAATGAGTGAAAATGGAAAGAAAAACTAAATACAAAACTAAATAAAAACACCCAATTTGAAAGGCAATGGTTGTGATACTAGAGCATTGTTAAATTACATCATATAAAACACCCAATCTATGAACAAAACTAAGGGTTTCTAACTATAATTTCTTATTAATCACTTATTTTTACTAAATAAGCTTAAACAAACAACCACAAATTCAACTACAACAGTACTATATTTCAATTTAAAGATGATTTATAAAATTCACAAAAATGAATAAAACCCTGAAATAACATATTAGAAAACCTAACATCGGTTCAATCTATTGAAACTCAAAATCAACCAACCCTAAGATTCAAGTGAATCTCCAGTGCTAAGTCAATGTTAAAGAATGAGAGAGATATGTGAAGTGTTACAGAAAAGTGGTTATATGCGAGAATGAGAGAGATATGTGAAGTGTTACAGAATAAAGAAAAAGTGCTACACAAAACTTATAGGTTTGAAGACAAAGATGCTTGATGTAAAAACCTAAACTGTTAAAACCGTGCAATATCAAGCTTATAAATTACAGTTTCATTATCTGAATTTTCTTTCTACAGAGCAATTAAACCGATGTTCGCCCAAACCCTAAATTGAACAATTTCATTTAACCTAAATTGAATCGACGAAATAACAAGAATCGATGAAAATTAAACAGGGAGATTAAAGTGTGATCTGAAAAATGGAAGAAGATTAGGGTTTTAGGGAAAGACTAACCTTGGACTGTTGAGAGAGTTGAGGGACCTCTCTGAAGCGGCTTGGTTGACTCATACTCATAAAGAAAGGCTTGCTTATACGTCTTTCTAGCGTATGCGCGCTTCCGCATGTGATATTATCACTGCAAGCAGAAGTAGAGAAGTATATGTGATTGGGGAGGAGGATCAGGTACAAATGAAAGCCAGTGGTGATTCGTGACTATGAACAGCCGGAGAGGGCATCCATTTCTTTCTTCTTATGTTCCTCAGAAAGAGTTACTTAAAAAGTACCTGCTCCATTTCAGTATACCAATAGACATGCGGCCATGGAAAGATGATTCTCAGATAGTGACGACATGGAAGATCCAGTGCTTGTCCCTTCGCCGAAGTGTGATGAATTGATAATGATAAGACCCTTTTTGCTGGGAGTGAAGTGAATGTTACTCTATCTTTATTTTCATTTTCACCCCTCGACTTTACTTTCTTTCCAAAAGTTTCCTTTTTTGATTCTCTCTCTCCTATATTATTTTTTGTGACAAACACTCCTACGGCATGAACGGCACCGTGAGTAAAAATTCATTTAGAATGATTGAGTTATAAATAAACTCACATCTAATCCATAAAATTTATAGGTTATTGAGTGATTATATTTTAGTTTTTTTTTAATTATATAAATCATAACTTTAATATTTTTAGTTTTTTTTTAATTATATAAGTGTTGATTTTGATATTTTTAATCGCGGTTATTTCAATTTCAATTTTTTGAATCTCTTTTATTTTATAAGTAATTATTTTGACTTATTTTGAATATCACATTTTAATTATTTTGATGATAATTTTTCAAAGTTATAAGTATTTTATGCAATTTTAAGTATTACTATAATGTAATTCTAATTTTTGAAAATATATTTATGATAAATTAGTGAAATATTTGTGCGTTTGCACGGATACTGATACAGTATGCATAATTTTATTAAAAAAATATATAATTTTTTAAAAACTTTATAATTGTATTACCAAAAAAATTGATGTTTTATGTATTTTAAGAGCTTTTTAACTTTTTTACGGCGACGGGTGTTTTACCGTCGTGCCCATGAGAATTTTTAAAGGTTTTGGGTGCGACGGTTGTTTTACCGTCGTGAAATGAATTATAGGACGGATAATTTTACCGCCGTGAAAGGTTTAAGGGTGCGACGGGTGCTTTACCGTCATGATATGCCTTTTAGGACGGTTAATTTTACCGTCGTGACTAGTTGTTGGTGAAAAATCAATGTTAAAAGTGTTAAATGGGGGCCGACGGTTGTTTTACCGTCGTAATAATAATATTATGATGGTTAAATATACCGTCGCAAAATAAATATTAGGGACGGTTGGTGTCAACTGTCATAAACACTGTCTCTATATGTCAATTACGACAGTTATCACATAACTGTCGCAATTTTTGTGTCGTTAAACACTAATTTTCTTGTAGTGAATCATCTTTTTGTTTCGCATGTAAATATTCATGAGTAGCAATTAATGTCAAATGCATATATCAAAAATGAATCTTGGACGTTCTTTAAACAAAACAGATAAAGAAGGACAGTTTGAAATTTCTTTGAAAATGAATTGTATTGATTTTGAAGTTTGGCCCGTAAATAGGCGTTTTTGTACAAGAGGCTGACGTCCTAGTAAGAGAACACCGCCGAACAGATATAGTTTATACAATTTGTGAAAAACTAAACAAAACAACTATGTGAATAATCCCACTGGGTTCCAACTCTGCTATTGCCCTTATGTCCTCGAGCATCTCATCACTTTGCTACTGGTTGAAGGAGAATCAGATGGATTAGTGTCTTCTGAGCTTGATATTTAATACCAAAGTCTAGACACAAGGTGATCTAATGAGACATAGTGTTACGATGATCCATAATTTTTGCCTGGACTGCCCTTTCGGGCTTTCAGTCCACCGGGATACCCTTTTTTGCCCAAGGTGCCTTTTCAGGTTTTCGACTTGCCGGGTGTACAAATCTTTTCATTTTCATCCCTTATTTTTGCCCGAACCCTTTTGGTTCACCGGGAAGCCCTTATTTTTGCCTAGGCCAGTCGACCTAGCGGGTCGTTAATTATGCGTAGTATCTTTTCACTATGTCTGCATTGACGGGGTGAGGAAGGTCGTCACCATCCATGGTGGTTAGAATCATAGCTTCGCCTGAGAAAATGTTCTTAACCACAAATGGCCCTTCGTAAGTAGGGGTCCATTTTCCCCTGGGATCACCTTGAGGTAATATGATGCGCTTGATAACCAGATCCCCAACTTGATACTCTTGTCGTCTGACTTTCTTGTTAAATGCCTTGATCATCCACTTTTGGTACGTTTGACCATGACAAATAGCAGTAAGTCTCTTTTCATCAATTAAGTTCAGTTGATCAAGCCGGTTCTGAATCCAACCATCTTCGCTCAAACCTGCATCCTTCATGATTCGAAGAGAGGGTATCTGAACTTCAATGGGCAAGACTGCCTCCATGCCATATACCAAGGAATATGGTGTTGCCCCTGTTGACGTCCGTGCTGAGGTACGGTACCCATGAAGAGAAAATGGTAACATCTCGTGCCAGTCTTTGTATGTCACTGTCATCTTCTGCACAATCTTCTTAATGTTCTTATTAGCCGCTTCGACAGCCCCATTCATCTTCGGTCGGTAGGGAGAAGAGTTATGATGCTGTATTTTGGATTGCTCGCAGAGCTCGGTGATCATCTTATTGTTGAGATTGGTACCATTGTCCGTAATGATCCTCTCTAGTACACCATACCGACAGATCAGATTGTGCCGAATGATTCGTGCCACAACGTTCTTGGTTACGGTAGCAAAGGAAGCTGCTTCAACCCACTTTGTAAAGTAATCAATTGCTACCAGGATGAAACGATGCCCGTTGGATGCTGTAGGTCTGATCTCGCCGACCATATCAATGCCCCACATGGCAAAAGGCCAAGGTGCCGTCAAGATGTTTAGAGGAACTGGAGGTATGTGCACCTTTTCAACATAGACTTGGCACTTGTGACATGTCCGAGAATGCTGATAACAGTCGGCTTCCATAGTGGACCAATAATATCCTGCCCAAAGGATCTTCTTTGCCATGGTATGTCCACTGGAATGAGTTCCGAAAGTACCTTCATGTAAATCTGTCATGATCCTTTCTGCTTCATTCTTATCCACACATCGCAGTAAGGTAGAATCATGGTTACACTTGTAAAGGATGCCATTACTGATGAAGAACTTCGCCGCGAACCTTCTCAGAAACTTCTTGTCATTAACAGATGCACCCTCGGGGTATTATTGAGCTTTAAGATACCTCTTCACCTCATGAAACTAGGGTTTATCCGCTACCTCTTCAGTCTCAATGTCACAGCAATGTGCAGGTTCGTCCAATCTTTTAATGATAATTCAGGGAGCTTCGTTGTCCCAATTGACCTTGAACATAGAAGACATCGTAGCCAGTGCGTCGGCCAACTAATTCTCCTCTCTAGGGAAGTGTTCAAAGGTTATCTCCTCAAAATGGGGAAGCAATGTCAACACATACTCTTTATAAGGAATAAGATTTGGGTGTTTCGTATCCCACTCGCCTTTGATCTGACTGATCACGAGAGCGGAATCTCCAAAAACACTTAGAAACTTAATCCTTAGGTCAATTGCTGCTCGAAGACCCATAATGCACGCCTCATGCTCCGCCATATTATTGGTGCAGTTGAAACATAGTCGGGCGGTAAATGGAGTATGAGAGCCTTTAAGAGATATGATCACGGTGCCAATGCCATTACCCAAAGCGTTCGAAGCTCCATCAAAGTACATAGTCCAATAATATTGCTGACGTCAGTATCAGCATCCAACTCTTGTTTAACTCCATGAAAATAAACATCGGCCCCGTAATGCCAAGGGACAACTTTATCAGAGGTGTAAGGGATAGGCCCAAGAACAATGATGATCAATGGTGTGATTCTTGGAACAAATGTAATTCTAACATGCTTTCTCGAGGAAGCCTTGGAAGAATTGTCGAGAATGGTGATAATAGCAACTTCTTCAGTATGAACTAAGGGAACAACAATCTTCTCAAACAGAATTTCTTTACTATCCATCAGGCGTTGGACACCTGATTTCAAAAGTGAGCAACCAGTTGGTAGGGCAGAACACATACGGCAACCTTCGTCACAGCCCGGAAATAAACCGGCTAGCAAAAGGTTCTTCTTCACAGTCATCAAAGGGGTAAGAATGTCGTTCACAGAAACCACAAACAAGTGTTCATCTATAGCATTCACTCCATGCTTGGGCATAGGAGCAGTCACAACATTAGGTCTTTCGGGCGCCTCTAACTCAATCTCCTTAGCATCGATTAAGTCCTGCATTTTGTTCTTCAAAGACCAACAATCATTTGTATTATGCCCCGGGCTATCAGAGTGAAAAGCACAGCGAGCATTAGGGTTGTACTTCGGTGATGTTGTATTTGGATTCTTCGGGGCTTCCCTTGGAATCACTAGGTTGGTTTTCAATAATTATGGCAGAATCTGGGATAAGGTCATGTTGAGAGGGGTGAATTGCCTTCGGGGTCTCTCGGCCTTTTGTTGATTGTTGTGCTGAGGAGCACCAGCAGGTCTTGAAATAACAACCGCATTAACAGCTTGGCGGCGCTCAGGTCTATTCTGGTTTTTCGAACTGTAGATAGCACTAGACTCTTTCTTAAAAGGCTTTTTCTCGGTGCTTGATGAAGCACCCTTTTGTATCTTACCAGCCTTAATACCAGCCTCAATCCTCTCACCGTCATAATTAGCTCTGTAAACCCAGACGAAGAGCTTCCAATCAGGTGGTTGAAAAATGGATCAGACAAGGTCCCCAGAAACATATCCACAAGCTCCCGATCAGCCAAGGGTGGTTGCACTCTTCCGGCGAGGTCCCTCCACTTCTGAGCATAATCTTTGAAACCTTCACCCGTTCCCATTGACATACCCTGAAGTTGGGTACGCGTGGGAGCAAGGTCGGAATTGTATTGGTACTGCCTGTAGAAAGTAGTAGCCAAATCTTCCTAATTGCAGATACTGGCTCCGTCCAACTGGTAAAACCATTCAAGTTGAGTCCCTGAGAGGTTGTCTTGAAAGAAG